TATTGCAAAAGAAAACAGAGGGGTACCTTCTTCCTCTCATGAGATTTACCTGTTTGTCAGAGATTTGGATCGCTTCTTTCAGCACAATCCATGACACGCTTTCATTGAGGGGAGGTGTTGTCAATGATCCAGGATAAGTCCAATAATCCAGGCAACAGGGCAGGAAGCTGCTTGGTTTGAAGCACTTAAACTGTGCTTTGGTTCCCTGAGAAAAGCAATTAGCATAAACTAGAGTTAAACATTTAAAATAAAATTGTTTGATTTTTTTACAGAACTTTCTAGGAACACAACTTACAGAACTTTCTAGGAGCTACCAAAATCAAACCATCAACCATTCTTCTTGCAGAACCCACAATTATAGGGTGGGAAGAGTTGATCAAAGTACTGGACTCAACAGAAATGTGGTCAGGTAAAGTATCTCTCAGTGCCAGCATGGCACAGTGATTTGAGCATTGGACTGTGACTCTGGAGACCAGAGTTCGAATCTCTGCTTGGCCATGGAAACCCACTGTATGACCTTGGGCAAGTCACACTTTCTTAGCCTCAGAGGGGGGCACTGATAAAAAAAACCTCAACCTTTATTTATAGATTTAGGGGATTTACCAAGTGTCTTATTTCATCAATGCAGTTGAGAAAGCTTCTTTCAGTTAATCCAAATTTCATTAAAATAACAACTTTTAAGACCAAAAAAAATTTTTTTAATTCATAAAATGATGGAAGAAATTATAAAAATTAAGATTCCATTCAAACTAGAAACTTTTTGGTGTAATATGATAGAGTGCCAAAATGAAAAATTATACATGAAAATTATAGTTTATATTGTCATGGCTGCATCAATACTATTTGCTCAGAAATTGAAAGTAAACATAATACCATCAAGGGATTACTACTAAAATTTACTAATCTTGCAGAAAGTGACAGGTTGAAATGCTAATTAAGAAGAAAACAACAACTAGCTTTAAGAAGGACTGGTCAAAAGTAATAGAACTTTGAAAAAAGAAATGAAACATTTACATTAAGCTTTCAGC